TGAGCCAAAACACTTGGTGAGGCATTCCCCAGACTCATATCATTCCACTGTCTAAAAACTAAGCGAATCTTGATTCGTCTGAGAACAATACGGTCTTCCAAAAGTCCAGAGGCTTGGTCATCATATGGTCCAGGTCTTAATAAGGGCTTCCGTCTAGCTGCTCTGCAACGATAACCCAATCTGTGGAGAATCCATTGAACAGATTTCGGGCTCATCCCACCAACTTTGGCCACTTCTGCAGTTGTTAATCTGGGATCCATTTCAATGCTTCTCTCGGCAGCCCTTTTTGTCCTCTCCGATGGACCAGGTCGACCTGGATGCTGCTCAGTTGTTTCCTTGCCATGTTTCATGAATTGCACGATGATTCTGTTGATTGTCAAAAGCGGGATTCCCAAATTCTGCTAAATTTGCCACTGACTTATTCCACCATCTGCTTGACCAACTATCCTTTCTCTAACAAAATCTAACAATTCGAGAGAACCTTGTTCTAGGCATGTTGTAGTACAAGATAATTAGTGTGCGGACCATTTTCATTTATATAGTGCTCTGTGAACACAAATTAGTTAGCATAAATCAGTTAAATGATGAAAAATTAGGTGTCTATTTACTTCTCAACTTAGATCAAATAAGGGCATAATAGATTTGAAACAAAGAACACATCTAAACATTTCTTAAGAATAAATGAGGATGTTTATGTGCTTTTGTACTCTTGGCTTAAAACTGCTTAATGTGTGGAATAAAATGTTTATTGTTGAATAAAAGTGCTATGAACATCTCAGCCACCAAATAAATATGGAGCTTGGGATCATAGTGCAATTCCCATCAGCCACCAAATAAATATGGAGATTGGGATCATAGTGCAATTCAGCCACCAAATAAAGTTGGAGCTTGGGATCATAGTGCAATTCAGCCAACAAATAAATTTGGAGATTGGGATCATAGTGCAATTCCCATTTGTGGGAAAAATGCAAGGAAATGGTTTTAAATTACCAAAAAATTAAAACCACTTGCAATGATTCACTTACATAAATTATTGGGGTGGGAGTGGAGGGACGTTTGGAGTTGCCATTAAATATACCTCACATTCTATGACTGACAGAAAATTTGAGGTAAAAACTGAGGAAATTTCTCAGTTATAGCATTGATTTCAAAAATGAAAACTGTGACACTGAAGACACAGCCATAAAGTACTTTGTGAAGGAACAGGAGAGTGTTGACTCCACACAAATCTGGAATGACCTCTCTATAAATAAAGTTACAAATAAAAATGGGCCAATGGCTCTTGTATCCCATTAGAATGGAGGTCTCATAGTACACTGAGTGGTCACAAAGATTAAATATATGTGAGGCAATTATTTTTGTGATTTGAAAAAGGTTGAAATTAAATACTTTAAAAGGCCTGTGATCCAAAAAACAATGAAATTACAAACATGGTCAATCTACACTGTATCAAAGGGACACCAAGAGTTAAGAGTTAAATACAAAATGGAATATTGTGGTAATGATCATGATCACAGCTTTGAAAAAGAAAGTTGCAAACAGAGAATATGAAGTGGAGGTTTACAGAATTATGTAAAAACTCTGAACATGAGATAGAGCCAAAGTTCCTGATGATGCACACAGACCAAAATCTTAAATACAGAGCTTAGGCATAGACCAGGATTACATATTTTTGTACAGCTATATGTATCTTTCCATTTTAAATTATTTTTTCAGTAGTTCTTAAAAGGAAAAGTTTAGTGCCACACAGTGTTTTTCAGTCTTTGTGAGTTTTGAAATCTTAATTGTGTATTCCGTTTGTTCATGCTTTTATAAGCAGTATTTTCTGATTTTAGAAAGGTAATAGCACCATTAAAGTATGAAAATTTTGAAGTTGGACAACACTGTTGAAAATAATGTAGATAAACAACTTTCAAACATGTAAGGTTTAGTGGAAAAGTGTTGTCCAGCCTGGAAATTCATTTCATGTTTTGGACTTCAGATATTTTTCCCGACTTGTTTTTGACTAAATCCTGCAAAACAGCAAAAAAATGATGTTGCATGTTTATTGTGAAATAAGATGTATGTAATGAATGATTTGTTTTAAAAATAAAAGTATAATTTGTGAAAAAAAAAGTTTGAGCTTTTAGTTGTGTATTTATTTGTTCTTGATCGGTTGTCTGTGATTTTTACAGCAACTACAAGAAATGGATGAAAGACGAATAACTTGCATCCAGAATTTTATTAAGTTATCCGCTGATATTCAGCGACACGTATTTCCTATAGTAAGCAAATGTCTTGATGGAATAGTGAAAGCTTCAGAAACTGTGGATCCAAGACAGGTGGGATGTTAACGGGTTGTGTTTCGTGCCAATATTTGTGCTTTTGTTAAAGGTTAAAGGCACACACAAGACATTTATTTTGTATTTTCAAAGATTTAGAATCCATGTAAATTTTTAAGTTTTAAACTTTGAAGTTTTTTTTCAAATGTCACATAATTTCTCAATTTTTTTTATAGCTTAAATACCTTGAATTTTTAAAAAATATGAAACAGTATTTAAGTTGTAACTAGATAACGAAGTTTGATAGTCTTAGTTTGGAGCATAAATGTTTTATCTACAGTGAATAATAATCTGTTATTAATTTAACAATAGATCCTTTGAAAAACATTGTTTGTTCTCTGCCTAAAGCTGCTTCTGTCCATGAAAGTGCAAATATGTGAATTGATTCATTTTATGTATATATGTATGTCTGCATGATTTTTGAAGAATTCAAGCCAAAAGGTTAAAATCACAGTAATGTATCTTAAGAAATCCTTAAACTATAATATTAAAAACATTAAAAATATAAAGATTATTTGTGTGTGTGTGTGCATCTAACAATGAGATTTTTTTGTTTTAGTTTTTTTGTTTCAAGTTAATGTACAAAAAAAGGCTATAAATTTTCATTAAATACTTTTAGGATTCTAGGCTAGTCATTGAGAAGTTTAAGTCTGGTTTCTCACCACCGGTAGACTATCCATTTGAAGACCTTAGTAATCTTAAAAATAGTGAAGGGAACACGGGGCTGCATTCGGTACCTTCTTTTAAAACAGAAACTATTAAAGGCACCATTACAGCTGGAAAACTCAAGAAGCGTAGTGGAATATTTGGGATATTTAGTTCAAATAAGGTGAGAGAACCAGTTGTGGATTCCAGATATTTTGTACTTATAAGTATGTGCATTACTTATAATTTTAGATTTTGTTGGGATTCAGGTTGGTATTTGATCTTTCTTATATTTAAAGGTTGAACTTCCTTGAGTGTAAAGTATGTGAAATTATTGGAACCAGTATGTATTTAAATTATACTTGTCAAACCTAATACTGTCAGCCTAATAGTTGGGTTTTTTTCATCTCTATATTTCAAAATAAGTAGTAAAAGGATACAGTAAGACCTTTGTAGATTGTATTTCTTTGTTATTCTATAAGGTACACAAGAATCTTTCTTTTTGTTCTTTATTCATTTGCCTTAAGGTTTAACCCATTCACTGTGGCTGGGAAGTGTATTTCCCAGTGCTCCGACCCCCTCACACTGTGATTGGGACAAATGTTTCCCATTGTTGATGCTGTTTATGCCTTCTTCTGCTGGTTCCAGGTTCATCATCTTGACTATCATCACTAGATGGAGAGCTAGCATTCTCTTGTCTCATTGCCTCTTCATCGTAATTTGAACATCACTTGACTCCTTTTTACCATCTTCTAAGCTATCTGAGTCAAGTACATCAAACATATTTACATAGTAATTATTGTTACTGCTCACTAATTTAGCAATGTGGGCACTGTCAGCATGCAGTAGTCATACGACCTGCTTAGGCATCTTGTTGGTTACTGAAGTGCTGAGTGGAAAACACTGAGGGAAACCATACATCAACAATAAATACTTTCCAAGTCATTTAACACTTTCGCGATGGGCTCGGTATAACATACACGAGTTAAGTATTTATACTATAACTTTTAATGCAGTAAGTGTATCTTCACAAAATTTTGTAGACATCTAGTAAAGATTATAAGTCTTTCGTACACAAAGAATCAAATTTTTGTTTAATGAAATATTTTTATTATAGATTTGTTTGTGAAAATATTGAGTCTGTTTCATTACCAGTCCAAGTGTGAAGTGATTTCCATGTTTTAACTAAGAAATTATTGTTCGTCCCAAAAATCTCAAATATTATTTGTCTAATTTCTAAAACCTCCTAAATACATTTCAAATGTTTTTTTTTAAGTAAAATTTATATTTCGTCTGTTAATTTCTCTACCCTAACTGTATAGGGTCTGTCAATTTGACCAGCCTTGTAACCACCATAAAAAAATTAGGAAATGAATTTGAATTATGCTTTTTTCATTCTAGAATGACTACAAATTATAACACAAATCATACAGTTCTGATTTTTTTTTTATAAACTTGCAAAAAGTTTGCACTATAATTATGTGTGTGTATCACCTACAGTTGACTGGTCCAGTTACCTTATTTTGTATGGTAACTGGAAACTGTCTGTTGATATACATGGGCTACTTTGTTTTAGTACTTTTACACTAGAAAACGGATAAAAAAGGGCCCTGAAATTGGACTCATTTCCACTTTTGTATACACTTTTGGCTTTCATCACCTACAGTTGGCTGGCTTGATTACCATAATATAATTTTTTGTGTGGTAACTGGAAACTGTCTGACAATGTACGTGGGCTGTTTTGTTTTAGGATTTCTGTTTGTGAAGGGAAATAAAAAAGCCCCTGAAATAGGACTCATTTCCACTTTTGTATACACTTTTTGGCTTTGAATGTAAAGACACAAGTACTTAATCAATTAAATGAGTCAATTATTACTTTCCACAAAACATGGTATGCAATTAACATCTAATGAGGTCATTAGAGATTTGATAACAAAAGAAAAAAGGATGGAACACATAATCTAACATTGTACGTTATACAGCTTTTGCTTCCTTAATGGGTGCCTTCAGCTAGTTAAAGTAATGATTTCTTTGTAAGTCAACATTTTGTGGGTTCACCACACACTTGTTACTAGTGTACCTTTCACTAAGCTTAGTTGCCTTTGATGAAGAGCACAAATGTGACTTGTGTTGTTAACTTAGAATATCAGTATTAGCACAAGATACCATAATGTAATCTGTAATGTTTCTCTTGTTAACTTAGAAGCAGTATTAACACTGTACAACAATTTAATCTGTAATGGTTCTCTTGTTAACTTAGAATCAATATTAACACAGTATACAACAATTTAATCTGTAATACAACAATTTAATCTGTAATGTTTGAACTTGGGCTGCTTTGTGTAGTAATAAAATTAATGTAAATTCTTGATTAATGAAAAAATCATAAGAACTGAAAGTTAGACTTGCTTTTTTAAAAATAACCAATAAATTACACTTATTCTACTCAAGTAAAGGAACATTTAAACTATAAGCATAATATTTCAGCAACACTTAGACAATTTTGTATTAAAAAGATTGTAAATTTAATACTGACAATAAATGATTCATGCAATAACAACTTGTGCGATAACTTTACCAATGAAATAAACTATTGAAAATAACAGAACTCTTACATTTTTGACTTATGAGAGGTACATTTATTGCTCCTGTTATTTTCTTGTTAATCATGATCTTTGTAGGGTTTCATATATACATGTTTTGAAATATCATGAATATGTTATTCTTTTCTCGTGTTAGTTTTGTTTGGTAATTTTTGGTAAACGTTTTTAGCATCATATTGATGAAACAAAAGATTACTGTGATCTACCCCCAAATCAAAGGAAAAAGAAACTTACACAGAAGATAGAACATATACAGAACCAGATACAGCAAGAAACAGCAGCAAGGTGAGGTTGTCATTCTTTGAGCCATAGTAAAAGATCTCTTTGTTTATCTTTCTTAGATCCACTTTAAAGTAGCTGCTAAACCAATTGAATTGTACTGTTGTATTGTGTCTTTGCTAGGGCTCGTATTTATTGAATAACATTTGTATTAGTGTCTAATGGCATAATATTATTTTTGTTTTTTAACAACCAATGCCATTTTGGAGTCTTTATTCAGTCTGTACAGAAGAACTTTGTAAGATCATCCTAATGTAAATCATAAAAAGTTATTGGGAGTTCCACAGTTTACTATTCACAATTTTTCAACGAAGTTCAGGTATTTGCTTCAGAAGCTAATGCTTGTGTTCCGTCCCTTTTTTTTAGAATACTAACATTTCTTTCATATATATGTGTGTGCTTATTTTATTATTTGGTGGAGGTATTCTGTAATTTAAATCTGACTGACATATTAATATGATCAAGCAAAATAAAATTACCATTATAGCCACACATTTAGATATTTTGGACAACTAGGTGTATTGCGTCAGTAAGAGATAATTGCAAACAAAGATTATAGAAAGTAGTTTCTCAAAACTTTGACCTGTTTTTTAGTTCAGTTACACCCGTCAGCTTGCATAATAGTATTTTTGCAGCACATTTCCAAGAAACGTTATCAGAAGCGCTGTTTGTCACTGCACCTTCATTATTTTATATATTTTGATCCAAGTACCTTTTGTTTTTGAAGGTAAAAACTCTTTACCTCTGTGGCCAGAAAATTACTGTATGTCCGTGTCTTCTATCTCATCTCAGGGATGGCTTGACGAAGATGAAATTGGTGTATGAACAGAGTCCTGCAATGGGTGATCCACTAAGCATTGAGGGCCAATTAACAGAAAACGGACATAAACTTGAAAAGCTCCAAACTGAGCTTCAGAAGTTCCAGGTACGCTAGCCCTGATGCTGTACATTGTACCCTCCTCACAAGATATTCACACCCCATTTTATAAATTTAGCCAGCAGCATGATAGCTTTTACGGTACACAAAACTGTTTTTCTTGTAATTGTGTACTTTTTAACAGAAACTGAATAATTTCCTAAAGGTTATGATAGTTTGAAACTTAAGGCAAGAAGCAGTTCAAATATGTTAATTAAATTCATATTAATATTACAATACTTTTAATTCATAGTGGGTGTGACCATATTTTGGTCTAATTCCATAGAAAGTTATGAGTTTTTATTAACGGTAGTATGTTTACCTTTCTGAATTGAGTTGATATGTATATATATATTAAAAAGAAAGTAATTTATAGTTAGAGTATTATTTAGCTGCTTAAAATTCCTAAAACAAATCTCTATTGATGCAGAAATAAAAAGAAAAAAAAATTATTTTGGAGAAAAGCCTACAGGCCTTCAGAAAACTAATCTCATTAAAAGAAGCATGTGTTAAAAAAAATCATATTCATAAATTGAGGAGACTTTGGCCCACTTTCAGAGTTACTTATCGGATGCAGAGGGTATAACATTAACACCAAAAAGAAATAAAAAGGATAGGAACAGTATTTCTGAGGATTCTTTATCGAGGAGTGCTTCCGATTCCAGTGTCAACAACCCTAACAACAATAAAACCATGGTATCAAATACTCCACCACAAGCTAATGGGTAAGTGGAGTACTAACGATTAATAGGACACCTTTCTGTTACCTAGAAAATACCTTTTGATTTCCCAATTAACCTCAATCATCCTGTAGAGATAATACAAATGACCTCCTTTACCATTACAGTCTGACATTAAATAACCCTGTTCTTTAACTGTGGACACTTCAATACATGCAGCTTATGAATAAGCCAATAAAGAAACAACAGAATTTGATTTGCAGAGAATAAATAAAGTAATGGGATATTACAAGTATGCTTAACCCTTTTTAGCCCATTTGTATTATATCAGCCACTTTTGAATTTGCATTCATAAAAATTAAACTTTTATCAAACACGGACACGTTAAGCCTAAAGCATGGTAACTATTGAACATTTTTGAATATAATTAGATCTTTATTTAAATTTTTAATAAAATTAAAATCACTAAATTACATTACTGTATATTTTGACATTATGCGACATGCTGTAACTCTTCTTCCGAAGGAAGATTTCACATATGCTTATTAACAAAATACAGTCATGGGCCCAATGATTTCACGAGTTAGTCACAGACCTAATAACGTCACGTTCTTTCCCACTTTATTGGAAAAAATTTTTCGTACATTTTTAAAAGCAAGATAGATAGACAATATTTTTTTACATACGTCTTATTACCTTCATACCCATCTTAGAAATCAAGTACAGCTGTTTCAAATAGATCCTCTTCTAAGTTCATGTTGGATGGAAGTCCGCCGTAAGAATCAATAGTTTCGAACTGCAAATTGGAGTTTTTGTAAAAGGAAAATAATTGTCAAACCAATTATTTCAACAAATTTAACAAGTTAGTTCACTAACTTTATGTGGCCTACGAAGAATACAATACCATGATAGACTTAGTTTATGTGAAAACATGTGATCATGAAAGTCTTCTGACATAATAACTAAAGGTTTAGATAGTTATAGTTCATATAAAGAAGGAGATCTATAGCATATAGAGTGTAAATAACAAAAATTCCAACTTCCAAATAACATATTTCTAGTTTTGGTAGTTTTAAAAGCATGAAAGTTGTCAAACAAAAATACAGAGAGTTGAATTCAACAGTTTTTGACACCACCAACTTCGGTTATAAGAATTTTTGAGATAGAAGTAAAATCAAACGTTTACAAACACCACAAGTTTGCAGTTTCATTTCATATGTTAACAAGTTTTATCAATGCTATAAGGAATTTTAAATATTTTTATTCCCCAAATAAAAATTACAGCTGGAGGGGAGGAGGAGTGCAGAAATCTAAATCAGGATTAGCAATATGGATTTATTTTATTATTACTTTACCCAAAATAAAGTTAATGAATGTACATCAAAACAAAATTTGACATATGATCATTATGATGGAAGAGATCAGACAAAATAATTTTTCAAAACTTAACGATGTCACATTCCCTCACAAAAGAGCGCACAAAATCCTGGGCTGGAGAAGGTTAATAAATGTTAGATTTTAAAGTCACTTGGTGTAATTTTAAGAGTCCTGTAAATTTCCATCCTGATGGAACCCGAGAAAAGTTCCTTCTATACAAATGGAAATGTGATACCGAATCTTTTGTTGCAATATTAAATTTACCCACAAGAACTTGTAAGAATAAAGACAGTTATTTTATGTAGAGAACTCACTACGTGTTTCAACAGAACTTGGTCTGTCTTGTGAAGATAGACCGATGTTCAGTTTAAATATGTAGTTCTTTTTCTGCATAGAATAATTAATATTATGCTTATAAATCAGTTGTGGTTATTAATTTACTATCATATTAGCATAATGTGCTTCTGTACACAACAATCATTTGTTTCTCTTCAAAACAAATTAAGATTTTAATTATTCGGTCATAAGTAATTGCAACACAAAGTATATTTAAAAATGTATAGCTTGGTTATGTTCCAAAACTTTTTTTTTGTTTTTTGGATAACAAAAATATTAATTCTTATAGGCAAAAGAACTGATAATTAACCCAAAATAAATAAACTTGCGACAAAATTCGATTTTGGACTAATTAGGTATTGTGAAGGCCAACAAATTAGTAGTTAAGTCCGTATGTTTTTGAATCTCTATTCTTGGACTGTATCGAACTTCTGAACAAAAAGGGACCTTAAGAAGTCCATCAGAAAACTCGGAATTGACTTTGATAGTTCACAAATAATCCTGAGGTTTTTTTTTTATTATGTAATGAGAGAGATACATATCATGTAATTGCATTATGCACTCAATCATGTTTTCCATTAATATATTTTCTGCAAGGATTAAACATCAATTATTAGTTTGTTTAAACACTAAAGTTAATCAAAAATACGGTAGTAAGATGTGTATGGAACTCCAAGGAACTGTAATTAGGTTTGTCAAAACTAGTTTTGATGTAAAACTAATCAAAAAGGAAACTGATTCAAAAAGTAAAGTTCAGAAAAGGTGTAAGGGTCCTAGCTCACGGGTGTCAGCCTTTCTCAATGAAGAGTGTAATTAGAGAGAAACTATTAACAAGTACATAAACAACAAATATGCTGTTTTAACCTTAGTATCCTTGAGACATTACATACTTACCAAATTTTTGTTTACTTAATAAAAAGACTAAGTTTGTTTAAAAATTTTATCTTCTCAGTTCAATTTGTTTTGTTTTTTTCCTCTCGCACAATTGTAAAACTTAAAATTTCGAGGATACCTCATGCTGATGCTTTGGAAACTAATAAGTTTTACTAATGATTGTTGTTTACTCTCTACAATGTGTGCTTATGTGTGGGCTTTTTTTGGCTGTGTAAATCATGGATAAGAATTTGTCTTTGCATGTTTTGGGATTATTTTCTTGTTACATTTTTAACCAACAGTGTTAGTACTTAGTGTAATTACTTGAAGCTTACCTGAACTTAGCTTTTGTACTGTGTTTATTAATTTCAGTGTTCTCATTCTCAGTTGCTCAAAATATTAGCTCTTCCTGTATTATTTCAGTCAATAAGGTGTATTTATTAAACAGCAGGTTATATTTTAGATCAGTGGTCGGCAACCTATGACCCGCGGGTCACTTAGTAACCCGCGGCAATAATTTGGCTGACCCGCCATAAGTTGGCTTCACCATTGCAACTCGTAAGGGCACAATCATTGTTCAGTTCAAGTTTCTCGGGTAAGTGAGAAGAACTATGATATTAAAGGAAAGAGTCACGGCTACGGAGAATTTTAAGATCAATTTCAGGGGAAAATATCAAACTGGTCGAACTATTAATTTTTTTTGTATGTAAGTAAACATACACATTTAAATACATGTACTGGTATTAATAATTATATGATTATCACTGACCCAACAATGCTAAATTTAAAAAAAAAAAATAATTGACCCGCAATCAAAAAAAGGTTGCCAACCACTGTTTTACATTCTGATTTAGGTTTTGATTGCCTCGGAAATGGAATTTTTTCCTATAATATGTCCATAATGTATAATTTAAGGTTAATATACTTTGTGTTAATAAAAGATAATTTTAAAAAAACCTTGTATATCATAAGATGCTACAGATAGAATGCGATTCTAAAGCTTTTAAGTAAATGCAAAAAAGGTAAAGACCAAACAATTTCCAAGTAATTTTAGTGTATTTATGATTAGCCAATATGTATACTGCACAAAATTATATAATTTTTAAAGGAATGTTATCAATTTTATGATTGGTTTGGCTCTTCCATAGAGGATTTATGATAATTGTTAAGAGGTTTCTCAATAGAGAAATATGTTCTACAAATTCAAAACTTGCGCACAATGTACTTGCTTCAAACCGAACAGATTGTTAAGAAAAAGCATAAAAATAAATATATTTGTTGCATGAAATATTTAGAAAACAAATCATTTACAATAATATTTCCTGTTAATATAGGGGGGTCCTGTAATAGTTTAAACCTTATATTGTCTTCTGATGTTTAGAAAGTCATAAAACAGTAAAAATGTTGTATTACATGCATAAGTAAAGCTGACCATAACTGTAGTTCCTCCTATAGTCCCGAGAGTGGTATCAGTAGGAGTCGTACCAGTATTCCAGAAGTTGACGTGTATGATGACGAGGAGAAATTTGATAACATTGACGAAGAAGATAATGCTGATTTTGATCTGGATCCTCTTCCTGTGCTGGGTACGGCAAGGGCTCTCTACCCCTTTGATGGTCAGTTTCAAGTAATTTGTATAGCAGTGTTTATTCTGATTAATACAGTTAAAGAAAAAGCTAGAAACTTTTTGTGGCTTTTAGGTTATTCCTTTAGTAAATGCGTAATTAATGATTAATGAAAACGTGGCATTTATTACAGCTGTAAAGTCTCGTACCTTTCTTGTGAAAATTAATTTATTTAAATCATGATAATTATTTCATTTAATTAAAGACCATTATTAACTTTCAGGTTCTCCCTTTTGCAATATATAGTTACATAAATTTCTATCATTTCTTTGTATAAAAGTAGTAGTTAAATTTCAGTTACCTTTGTGTAATTGTGTTTGTTTTCAGTTTTCCTTTGCTACACCTATTAAATTATATATCCTCTTTGTAATAGTTGATTGGGTTACTTTTTGATCAACCTTTTTTATTTATTCATGATTCATTTTGTTCTTCCTGTAGTTAGTAGTAGCAGTATGCATTTCAGTCTGCTTTTATTTTTGAGAATTTGTCCAATTTTTTTATGTCTGTTATTCAAGAAATATTAGTAATAACACAGGCCTGATGGTTTTATTGTCTTGAAATTTTTACATGTTCTGTATGCTGAATCCGAAAATGATATCCATTTTTCTCCATCACGTACAGATTTTTCACAAAATGTCATCACAATACATAAAAGAAAGACCAGGATGAATGAGGATGCATATTTGTTTGACATCAATGTTCTTCCCTTTTCTTCAGTTTGTTTATATTTGTGTTAACAAACATAATAATAAAAAATGTTCATTGTGGTAAACGAAATAATAACTTTATCCAAGTAAGAGTTTTTTTTTCTTCCTGATTTGTAAAAAATCCTTACATGATAGAAAAACATTAATATTATTTTTGAAATCTGTGTAGCCAAATTATGGAAAATCTGTTATTAAAACCCAAACAACTTTTATGAAGTTTAAATTTGCAGGCCTGTGTTATCATTCTTCTTTCACAATAACAATAATTTAGTTTCTTGTCTTTTTAAATACTTTTGTTATTTCTTTCTCCATTATGTACTAGAAACAACAAAATTATCAGTACAGCAACAAAAAACTGTGTTTAATATTTGTAAAGTAAAAAGAAAATAGCCCTTCTGAAAAACATAATGTGAATGAAGCCAAAGAGAGCTTATCAAATAAGCATAGTAAAAGAAAAACGTCAAAAATCTGGGACTTTTTAGCTTTGGCTTTCAGCCATTTTAAGTGTAGTAGTAGTAATTTTCTTATATATGTATTTACCAGTCATAGTTTTTGCTTTTTATTTTGTCTTTTCAGCATTTAATAGTTAAAGTTTGCTTTTGTATTTTGATAATTTTAATCATTTTTGAGTTGTTCTGCTTATAATAGTAGTTAATATTTTAGCCTTCTTTCATTACCAAAAAAAGTTCATTTTTAGCCTGTTGTGTTGCTAATAGTGCTAGACAAGCTTTGCTTTTCCTTTGTTAATAGAAGTTAATATTTAGTGTGTTCTTTAGCCAATTACATAAATGTTCTTTTTTTGCCTTTCCATACAGCTCAAAGTGAAGGATCTATCCCTATGGAAGAAGGAGAAGAATTTGATGTTGTTGAGTTAGATCAAGGAGATGGTTGGACTAGAGTACGTCGCGGTGACATCGAAGAGGGTTTTGTGCCAACCTCCTACGTTCAATGTTTTCTCTATAACAATTGTTAATCTCTGGGTTCTGTTTTTTTCAGACATTGTAATATCAGTTGCATATTCTGGTATGTAACCATCCTTTTCAATGACGTTCTTTATTGTGATATTTTTTTACTCTCAATAGTATTTGTTTTTAAAGTTTTTAATTTTCACAGGATTAACTGTAGTGTGTTAGCATAAGCATTGATTTCCTACTTGTATATGCATGAAGTCAGTGTATGTGTAATTTGTGAATGATTTTTTTGTAAAAGAACTGTTATGTCAATGCTAATTTAAGACTTTAGTCAGTGTTATGACAGTTTGGAAGTTACACTATGTTTATAGGAAATTTCTTTTCATACCTATTTTGCTTTTTTTTTTCTTTTGTTTTTTACAGTAGAATATTGATTATGCTCTTGACTGTACATTGATTAGTTGGAGACATTGGTAACTACATGTATGATGTATGTACTCGGCTGTGCTGAAAAAAAAATTATGTTTTAATTAGCGTTTTCACCATAAAATTACTTTCTAATTGGTTTATAAACTAACTTGAAAAGTTCCATAACTACCAAAATGTATTTTCAAGTGAGATGTAATGTCTTCGGGTCTTCTTGAGCACGATTCCCACAGTTGGAAGAAAGCCCTTTGAAATATATTAATATTTCCATTGAGAAATCTTGAAGAAATCCTACAGAAACTGTTTAGAATGTTGAAAATGAGCTGTTTGAAATCTAAAATCGGGCCGAAATGAAGTTCACGTCACGAAGCAGAATTTTTTTGCACCAATCAGATCTTGCACTAGTATTGGCCAGTTTTACCATTTGACACATCGCTAACACTTTAGATTGTTCTTCCTTAAAATATAGCTTAAAAAAGAAAAGGATACCAGCAGAGGAATAAACAGAAACAAATGTCTTGTACAAATAAATCATTATATAGGTTTATGATTTGTATTAGATATTCATGTAGATATTATTTAAAATCATTTGATTATTTTTGTAACAAGCTTAACCAAAAATATGGTGAAAGGTATGCATATCTGATGATTATTTTTCTATGTTATCAAAAATTAACGTGTATTCTAGAGCAAGTATTGGGAATGTTGTTATTGTACATGAGGAGAATTTGTAAAATCTCTTAAGTGTTTTAGAACCACATTAACTTTGTACTGTTGTGTATATTTACCGATACTTTGTTCTGGGATAAACAAACTATTTTTAATGAAAACGGTTTAACAAAATTTGTGTGTGTGTGTGTTATATATGCATCGCTCGTTTCAGGTTTATGCCAATGTAACAGGTTTAGTTCGGCATCATGTTCTGCGAATAAGGATGGTTTGTATCCATGGGACATACAGGTATTTTTCTTTACTTGATTAGTAAATTGCAGTCATGAAACAAAGGGGAACCAGCTAAGCTTAACGGCATTAAGAAAACAACTATCAGTTTGGGAACAAATGTTGGCCAGTGATCAGTGAGCGTCTCTGTTTAACCAACTGACAGTCAGTATGCTATTCAAATTCATCAACTTGTATTTCTGAAGTATTGCAAATATTAAAACTATTGTATCCAATGGTGAGATTTTGTTGACAGTGAGTTTGTGTGCGTGTTTATTTTTTAATACAACTGTAATAATCACGATGATGTTTTTTAAAAAAAAAAGAGTTCATGTAACTATTTTAATTCCCAACCATTATTGATGGAGATCCATCTAGCAATTAAACGATATTTATGAAGCAGCTATATGGGTGCTACCTTAGGAGTATATGCCCCCCCCCCAATTATTCGTTTCATGGTGAGCAAATTGGTGTGATGCTTGCAGCTAGGATGACATTAATTGCATGTATCCAATAATCTGCTTCATACCAACCCATGTTACATGCAAAGGCAGATTAAGAGCACTTAACAAAAACAGAAAATCTGTAGTCACTGACAAATTGGAGGTATAAAAAAACAAAACAAGTCAACATATACGAGCATAACTGTAATGAAACTGTAAATGGGAAGACGGCCCATTGCACAGAGTAAAAAAGAACACACTGGCGTTGAATAAAAATAAAATATAAAGATGTGTTAGGAGCAATGTCGGTGCTTTAAGAGGTTTTAACCAAAATTAAAACAGACCTCCATTAATGGTGTACCAAAAATTAAATTAAACAAAAATGCAGTCATGTTGAGAAAACAGGTGATTAGTTACTTCCTATGTTCATGCCCTTCTCTAACCATGCCGGTATTAACATAAACACTGTGTAGGAAATATTAATTTTTAGATAACAGTATCAGTGCATTAATTGTTAATTCTTTTCATTGGGTTGTGTGTGTAGTTGTTTTACACAGAATGTAATGAAAAAAGGACATGTAAAGTCATATTTGCTTCCTTCACACACAAAATGTATCCAGTTGTTAAACAAAAAATACCGATAAAACACTTTTAGTGCTCTTACGAAAACTCCATGTGAGCCCCTTTTCCATGCTTCTGTGGTAAATCATGTATGGCTTATTTTGCGAAATAATATTCTTGTTAAAAATCAAATTTTGGAGGTAACATTATTTAAGTATAAGTACTACTCGGACAATGAACCTGAATACAAAGATCCAAAGAAATGTCAAGTGTTAGAAGAACCACATGAAATTTGTTTGTTTTTTTTTTGAATTTCGCGCAAAGCTACACGAGGGCTATCTGCGCTAGCCGTCCCTAATTTAGCAGTGTAAGACTAGAGGGAGGGCAGCTAGTCATCACCACCCACCGCCAACTCTTGGGCTACTCTTTTAACAACGAATAGTGGGATTGACCGTCACATTATAACGCCCCCACGGCTGAAAGGGCGAGCATGTTTGGTGGTATGCGGATTCAAACCCGCGACCCTCAGATTGTGAGTCGAGCGCCTTATCCACCTGGCCATGCCGGGCACACCACATGAAATTCAGAAAAACTGTATAATTACCTACAATACAAGTATTAACGATTACATTTATTTGTATGTGTAATATTACAGTTATTAATTAATTGTTCGGTGGTATTGTACGATTAAAGATTTTGAAAGATTCTGGGCATTTGATTCTGGATGAGAAGGCATTATGAGTTAGGTGATTGGGCATTCTATGCTGCTTATGCTGAGACCGAAGTTATTTATTAGTATTTTCAGTATTTGTTTTTAAATGAAATAATGCTGTTAGTTTTCTTTAAATATTTTTTTTAAAGCCGTTGAACAAACGGTCAACTGTAGAAAACATTATTAATTGAGAACCTTATAATAGTGAAAAGCAATGTATCGATGTGTATTTTATTTTAAAATGAGATTAAAGAAAAACAATTTTGTGAGTATGTATAATAACGTTTTCAAAGATTGATATTTCAGAATTATGAAACATGTTCTGTGAAAAGTAAAATAGAAAGAAAAGATTTTATAACCAAGCTTAATACTGATTTCTGGTATGAATTGCAGAATAATGTAAACAGCAGGCTTTGAATTTTTAGGCGATAACTTACTTTTATTTTTTGAAAATGTTTGTACTTAAACATTTAATTTATAGATACTACACAGTAACTTTTATTGATTTCTTTTTCAATTTGCTAATATCAGTTTACTTTTTTATTGTCTTCATGTTGCAGCTTTTTCGTTGAAGGTATAGAAATGTTAAGTTTGTTTTTTACTGTTTAGTTCTTAATCAAGGAGATTGTTATACACCTACAGGTGAACGACATTTGCATTACCGTGTGTGTAGCTGAAAATTCAGTGTATTAGGTTATTATTTTATACACTAGATAATGAAACAGATCTTAATTTATATATATACACTTCAGTGAACAAAGATTTTAAATTCAGTAAGTAATGTGTGTATTTGTGCAGACAAAATATTTTGTGTTGCGGTTACTAAACTCGAAATTAGGCAGTATAAAATGGTGACGATTCTGCTTCAAATTTTGATATAAATTAGTCATATCAGTACATTTAAATTATGCCTACAATCTCAAGGGGTTGTATTATGATGAAGAGTTAAAAAACTAATTTAGATTAAAGTATGTAGTATTTCGAAATACAGTGAAAATTTCTCTTAGAATTTTCTTATTGGTCTGAATTCATTTATCTTCAGAATACTCAATTATTTGAGTTAAGAACTTCTTGTGGTATTTTGTATGTCTTTTAACTTTCTATACATATAATTTATTCCTAGGGTACTACATCCGAGTTTTATAATCACTCAATTAAAAACTAATGAGGGAACTTTTAGACAAAGTGCACATAGTTTTATATCTGAGACCAAAGAGCGATTTTATCCATGTCTTTAGATTTCAAACCTCCACCCAAATATGAATTTCCAAATATTCATCATAACTGATATGAAATATAGTTTATAAAGACGTTCACGTATCTACATGTTATAAGCCACTGTCACTTGCCTTGTACTGCCAGTCTAAAAATGTACTAGACTGTATCCATATTGAATACTGCGTTACTCTGTCAGCTTAAAAAAGTGTACATCCTCTGCTCTTTCTTCATACTAACTATAAAGACAAGTAGTAACGAAGAAATATGTAGAAACTTTATCAAGGATTATGTGCGCTTGAAATTTAGAAACTGATAATTTGTGTTGTGGTATTAGTGTCATTACTAAGCCTAATATGTTTTGATGAGGTGATGTTCCGTGAATAACTTCCAACAGATTTAAACTACTTCTCATAGAACGATGCTTGGGGATGTCTTTAAGTCAAAAAATGAACAGCCTACCTAGTGTATTGCTTAAAGAATGAGTAATTAAAAAAAAACGTACGTTATTTAGATGCATATCATGTCTACAATTTTGTAGAAGATATTCTCTGAATATTTTAAAGTTACTTTTACATTTGTGAAAGGGTGCGACTTGTGGAATTTTTTTGTTTTTGAATATGAACATATAATTTTTTTTTCTGACTTAAGGTTCAACACTACGTTTTTTTTATTAGGTTTATTCAATCCATCTTAAACATATGAGAGATTGAAAGTTTCATGTATGCTGTATAAAGCATTTTTTAAGTAATTTGTTATACCGTGTAATATATATATATATGTGTATATGAATGAAGTTTTGAATGAATGTGATGTTGAGGTTTACGTATGTTTTGTCAGTGAACCTAACTACTTTGGAGCTAGGTCTCATACCCACGTGAGTATTGTTATAAAACTTTCACAAGGCTTTGCCTGTTACTTCAATCATGTTGAATTCTGTAAGTGAATTTCTTTCTGCAGTGTTTACAAACATCAACATGTCATGATTTTCTTCAGTGTTAGGAGTAATTTATTCATGTTAATGTAGTTTTCAACCATTGTGGAAATAAAACTTCTTGGTATTTAACCCTCTCTGTTGACTTTCATTTCTTTATTAGTGTTAGCATGATAGCCGTAATTTAAGTGATTTTCTATTTTGGTTTTATCTTGTATTCGCTTAGGAGGCTCAGAATTTCTGGTAGTCAAGTATACTTTATCAACATAAACGTCTTTGCCTATCAATAAGGAAGAAAATCATTGATGTTGCTTTTCGCTGCACCTGCAAGGTTTCGAAATATTCGACTTGCAACCTGTGCAGCCTCAGTATAGGTGATCATCGTGGACTTTTTGACAGCCCTTGTTGAGATCTATCTATCAAGCCCAAAGATGATGTGGCAGCGCTCAAAAATAGGCTTGGTGCTGGCAAGGACAGTAGTAATAGTAGTAGTAGTAGTAGTAGCAGCATTCCGCCAGATCAGAAGATCAAGTTCAAGGTCTCCAACCTCAAATGGACGATGAAGAAAGGTCACATAATTTGATTTGAGAATTAAAAAAAAGAAAGAAAGAATCAATACGTGTAAGGTGGCATGGCCACTCAGAAAACCTGTGTCACTTTGACTGCTCATAACTCTCAATGGCAATACGTTACCATTATATAGACTGTATGTTTGGATACATCAGATTCCGAAGTTTACAATGGTGTATGCAACATTTCAAAAAAATAATAAATTATTACCAGAGTTTCTTGTTCCGTGCCCTTCCATACAAAAACACTGCTTCACTTCTTGTCAAGAGAGAGAGAGACAGATCTTGGTTTAATATAATAGGGTGGTAGTGTGTGTAAAAACTTGAATAACTAGTCACCTAAAAGCATTCCTTTTTAAAACATTTTCATGTGATATTAATAGCTAGGAATAACTTTGCGATGAAGTAAACATATTAAGTCATTGCACTTCAGACCCTAAGTTTGCATTTGATGTTCATTGCACGAAACAATTACAGAACAAAAAGAAATTTGTAATACTGTATTCATAAAGTAATGACATTTATGCATGGAATTCAAAGTTAACATGCTTAAAAACACTGGACCGAACTGTTGTTGGGGGGGGGGGGAGACACAAATATAGATGCAAAGTTACATCATTATTTTAGATATTACATCAAATTGGAAGTTACGTCAGAGATGGTTTGTAACTGCTAACAATTCAATGTTTTCGTTTCAGACATTAAGTAACTATGTCAAGTGAAAAATTAAGGTTTCGTGCAACAGATGCATAAACACACATACACGAAGGGACTGTAAAATTTGTCCCATATATTTCATAAAGGAAGGGAGTGATTTCAATCAGTTTATTTTTACAATTCTACACGCCTCATTGTTGTAACAGGTAAACGTATAAAATTACTCATTCTGATGCAATACTGAGCCCACATCAGTTATAAAAGCTACGAAAACGTGTTGGTTAGTAATTCAATATGATATAATGTCTAGGGACCTATTGACCCACTAGGCTTTCCCATCCTCTAAACTAAAATTATTAAATAAAGTATAAACCTTCAAAGCAGTCCTTATCATTCATTTAGTTATCAAACTTTTTCATAAGCTCGCTTAAATTTACTGCCTCTT